TTATTCACTCCCTTGTTATCTCTCGCCTTGACTATTGTAACTCTCTCCTCATTGGCTGACCTCATCACAGGCTATCCCCTCTTCAGTCTATCATGAATGCTGCTGCCAGACTCATCCACCTTACCAACTGTTCCATCTCTGCCATCCCTCTCTGCCAATCCCTCCACTGGCTCCCCATTACCAAACAAACAAAATTCAAAACATTAACAATAACATATAAAGCCATTTATAATTCTGCCCCAAATTACATCACCAATCTTGTCTCCAAATATCACCCAAACCGTCCTCTCTGCTCCTCCCACAACCTCCTTGTCAGGAAAGGACTCACCGCTGGTGGTGCTGGGGCTCACCTGCTGTGTGGGCTGCAGTACCGGTGCTTGCCAGCGGGTGCTTTCAGCAGCCAGGATCTCACTCCTGCAATCAAGCCATCACCTGAGGCTGATTGCAGGAGGTGTATTTAAGCAGTACCAGGCCTGCAATCAGTGCCTTGGTGTTTTCCCATGAGCCCCTGTAGCTGCATCCTGTTGTCTACCTGCCTGATTTCCCCTGCTTGACACTGACAGAACTCCGCCTGCACCGACCCCGGCTATTCCTGACTATTCTCCTGCCTGCTCCTTTTGTACCTTATCCGCCCAATCGATCCTGACCCGGCCTGCCTGACCATTCTACTTCTCCAGCTCTGTCTATGCCTGTGTTCCTGAGCATCTAGTTATTAGTTGAAGGTTTGGTTTTGGTTGTACGGTGCATTTCTGTATATTGTTGTAGCTCTTAATAAATTATATTATTACATCATTCCTGCAGTCTGCTATTCCCTGTGTCAGTCCACACATCTCTGGTCATATCCGGATCCTTGACACTCCTGCTCTCTAGCTCCCTTGTCTCCTCCTCCCATGCTTGTCTCCAGGACTTCTCCAGAGCCTCCCCCATCCTCTGGAACTCTCTACCCCAATCTATTTGACTATCGCATACTCTACTCACTTTTAGGAGATCTCTGAAAACCTATATCTTCAGGGAAGCCTATCCTGCCTTCAGCTAATAATGGAATCTTCTATTTCTCAGTTCATCTCCCACAGTTATTACCTTTTGTACCACCAGTCCCCCTCTCTTAGCTTGTAAGCTCCAAGGAGCAGGGTCCTCCTAACCCTATTGTATTGAACTGTACTGTTGCTGTATTGTCTCCCTTTATATTGTAAAGCGCTGAGCAAACTGTTGGCGCTATATAAATCCTGTATATAATAATAATGCAACACCATATTGCTGGTGTAGTTCGCTTCCTCCAAATCAGTTATGAGTGAGGTAAATATATATCAGGCTTTGAATTCCTTTGGGAGCCAGGGACAGATAGGAATGGTAAAATTCTGAAACTTAAAATATAAATACAGGTTATAAATAAAAATTTTATTAGCACTGTAATTGCGAGGGACACGTTTTGTTACCACGATGTCCAAGATGCAGATGGAGTTTTTGTCTCTCTTGCCCTTATTACGTACTTTAGCAGAAAACTATCATGACACAGTTTAAAGCTGAACTCCAGTTCCTCCTTTCCCCACCTTAAGCCCTTCATGGATCTTTTTTTTTTTAATACTATTCATACATGTTTTCCTGCAGTCTTCAAAATGTCTGATAACATTATGGGTCATCAGACATTACTTCGTCTCCAGCGGTAGTGGGTGGTGTTTCTTTCTGGACTGCTCAGTGCTCATGTATTAATCTCTAAATGCTATTTAGTCCAGGAATCCAGTAAGCCCAGGCTGTGTGATGATGCACCCCCCTGTTCATGATGTACTGGCCTTGGGAAATGTTTTCAATGATGCTGGTCATCAATTAGGCTGGAAGAGAGTTTCAGCGCAGGATGGAGAAATAAAGTGGGGGACAGCACTGAAGTGGGTAAGAAGTACTTAGCTGCATTTTATTTTCAAATACAGGGGCGGGGCTATAACTGAAAAAAAGTTGCTTTAAAGTTGAAGAAAAGAAGTCTTCGTCTGCATAGATAAGCAAACAGTCTGTATGCTTTTCTAATAACCGGATGCCTTTAAGAACTTCTTCAAACTGAATTTTTTAAAAATCTTGGAGTTAAACATGGCTTCAAAAAGTGTCCACTCAAGAAAAGGATGACATTTGTCCCCATCCATCATAAAAAATATCTCTCCTCCACAAGTCCAGTTACCCTTGCATCAACGCTGATTGTGTCCACAGGAAATCACAACTAAAGTTGTCAGAAGTAGGTACGAGATTGTCCAGAGGGAAAATATTTTTTTCATGTGTAGATTCTATCCACAACCTTCTTGCACTTAATTTTGATCTGATACCTTTGAAAGTGGAATTTTTTGCCAGGTAAAGAGGTTGCAAAAACAAGAAAGATTTGTTATATGAAAGGGAGTGGTTAGAAAAACAGCTTTGTATATCTCTCTCTCAATGTGTGAAAGGAAAATGCTGACTGCAAGACTCCAATTCTCCACAGCACTCAGATCAAGACTGAGAACTGGAGCTAGCTACATAACTGCTGGCAGATCACACTCCAGATGTACTGTCACTTACAGCCGTCTGCTGTTAGATGCCAGTTGTTGCACACTTTGCTGTAAATCCTGTATGTCTAAAAAGACATCCTATGGTGCTGACCTCTGCACCAGGGAAATGAAATAATTACTCCTATTGTTTGACTGATTTAAACAGAAGCCAGGTGCTCCATTTGTGCATGCAGGCAGCCAACAGTTTTCTCTGTAACTTTGCCCTAAACCCGGCAGTATGAAAATTATAGATTTATTAAGTGCCAAAAAAAAGAGCCTGACCTCAAAGTTAACGTTTCCTACAGGATTATTTAAACACGCACGAGACACAAAAAAGTATCACTGGAGAGATCAATGAACCTTGACCAATGTAAGTGCATATTCCGCCATAGTACGTAAAAAGTTATTATGCTCAGGGAAAAGACCTGAAAAAAGTTTAACCCATTGCTAATTGCTTTAGAGCTGTTGAACAATGATAGCCATATAACTAGTGGAATCAATTTTACCATAACATTACCCCAGCTATATACTTTAAGCAGATTTAATCCCAATCACTACCAGCTCATATCAGCTTTAGAATGCTAATGCCAATTAAAAAGTAATTTACCGTCATTTTTAAATCTTTATTAAAATATCATCTAATGATCCTGCCATAAAGGTCCTTGTTCAGGAAAATGTTTTAGTAGGTTTAGGTCTACTTTAAGCAAGTATTAAACACCTAGCACATAACAGTTCAGTAGCTGATTAGAAATGATTTTAAATATTTTGGATACAAAAGCTTTTACTGAAACATTTGAAAACCTTCAATCTGAACAGGGCCTGTTCTTGTGCATCATTGGCGCATTGCATAAAGGTGAAGGTCTGACATTGAGGAAACATCATGTTATTGGAAAAAGTCACAAGGAGATGTTTAATATTTAAACATACACTCTATCTGGAAATATATCATTGTTGGATTCACTTAAAGTAATCTTGTCAAAAGGAAATACTGAAGTTGTCGTTGATTAACTCGCTTTCTGAAAATGTTAGTTGCTTGGCTGGCATGCAAATGCATTGACTTAATTACTGAATTCTGACCCTCCATTTGCTACATGCTTGCTCTAGGCCTGGGACCCAGAGCACTGAGGGCAGATACAGCTAGCCTTTTCTAGAAGTAGGTAACAAATAGCCTATGTGTTTCTCTCATGATGGGTATACTATCCCTTTACAAAAAGGAATCTTATAAAAACACAAAAGAGGGATATATGCATGAATATAGTCCTTCTTTCTTGACACATAACTTTTTTAAACCCAATACCCCAACAGGTCAAATAGGCAGCCCAAAGCTTCTGGATGCAGCTCCTGGCTAATCACTGTGCTAGAAGCTAAGAACAGTGAGGATTAGATAAAAAATGTCAAGCATTCTGTATAAACTTTTTGAACAATTTTTCAGACTATAGACACCTTACATCATCGAAAAGCATCATGCCTGATGGCATGTATATCTAATTCACTCCACAGCCATTGAAGGTTTATTAAGACTGACATAGTTAAAATGGGTATTCCTAAAATCTCTATCGCATTTGACAACCTTTTATGATCCATACTGTATATTAAGGCCAGCCATATGCTCATAGGTATCATAGCATTAAGTTGTGCTTGTGGGCAGCTAGACTATTAACCAGGACCTGTACTTGATAAAAATATTTCTTGCCCTGCATAGGAATTCCACACAATTCTGAAGAATCTGTAAGCCAGATGTGGACTGGTACCTCTTTCCATACAAGAGTGACATGATCTTCCCAGACTGTGCCAGCAGGAGCTCAATAATATCCAATTCAGGATGAAACACCAAGAAAGTGTGAAAGGTAGCTATATGGTCAACAACATTTAGATTTAGAAAAGTGATCTGACATTTTAATGGTGCACATAGATGGGCAGATGACTCACAACACAGATGGTGGTAGATATGTCTACCCCTGCTAGAATTGTTTAGCACAGACAATAAAAGGACATCAGCGGTGTTTGGAACCATGGTTCAATAATATCCAATTCAGGATGAAACACCACAGAAAGTGTGAAAGGTAGCTATATGGTCAACAACAACTAGATTTAGAAAAGTGATCTGGCATTTTAATGGTGCACATAGATGGGCAGATTACTCACAAATGCAGGTGGTGGTAGATATGTCTACCCCTGCTAGAACTGTTTAGCACAGACAATAAAGGACATCAATGGTGTTTGGAACCATGGTGCTAGAAAGTCTTTGCATTCTAAAACAAGCAGATCAAATTTTTAAAAACCCTCACTCCTCCAGTCTAGTTGACCCTTATTTGGCCTGAGTAATGCCTAAATGTGTTACTCACTTTAACTAGGTGATATATTTCCCCCAAGACATGAGCACAGCTAAATGGATGTCCTTAGAATTTTTAGCACTAACCATTTTTACGCTCTAAGATAATACTATTAACAAGCCAGTAAACAACTGTTCACACACCCCTTGCTGTCACATACCTCTCTCTTTTTGGAGTGAGAACTGAGGCCTGGCCATTGGTTGATGCCTGATGGTTGAGGAGCAAGGAGGTCTTGGGGGCTACCACCGAAGAGACGCATGTCGTGGACAGGTCCAAAGTGCTATGGTTATTACAGCCAGCATCGTCCGCCGTGTGCGAGCCCGTTACTTCTTTCCAGAGCTGCTGCAGCTCCGCTGGAATCATGCCTGAAACAAACAAATTGGATAATTAAATCAATTAACAGCTAATTCAGCCCTCCTCAAACAGTAATTAAATCAAAAGAGTCAGTAAACAAAGACTGAACCGTTTTCTCCCCTACAAAGGATAATGAAATGCAACAATTCATTCTTTTCTGCTATGGTATTTGCTTAACTAAAAGGAGATTATTAATCTTAAAAGTAGAGGGGGGGATTGGAAAAGTAGCAAGGAGTCTGTTGTATCTAACCGAGAATTCTCATCAACATACAAATTATCTTTGTTTTAATGAAATTGTTCCCAGGAGTTAAACGACACAAGTATCCTGGTTTGGTGAGTATAATCAGCAAAGCAACGGTATGCCATGACATTATATTCACTACGAGTTTCACGAATTAGCTTTTACCTTTACAATATAAGATTAGCCAGCTTTCAAAGATGAAATCCACTATCTGAATCTAAAGTGACCATATAATGTAACCCCAATACATACAAATTACATACACGTATGGAAGGATTTAAACAAATTAGGCACTGTGGGTTAACATTCTTTCTCAGCTTGTTATTGCTGGGCATGTTTTGGGGGAAAAAAAGCTCTGCCTTTTGCTTCATAAGCTAAAAAGGAACTTTCTTTATGTGTCATTCACAGTGTAATGGTGGGGAATCTAAGAGGTTTTCAAATTAAACTTGAAGGTTGTTGCATTCCTTAAAAAAAAAAAAACAAAACAAAAACCCTATTCTATCTCCCATTGCCCTCCTGATCAATTTTTTTACATTGGATTATTGACCTCAGATGCAGACCAAAATAGATTCTAAGTACCCACCCTCCCAGAGCATTGTTTGGATTATTTGAGTCATTTTGAGGCCCACCTTTCATTTCAGGCGTGGTTTGCACTACTGCGGAGTAATTTTAATGTGACTTTCAGTGAGATGTAGTGCGGCCTGGATGCAACTTCGGATGTGGCTAGAATATTCTATGAAGCCAAATCACACCGAAGTGACACAGGAACATTTTTCAAATTGCACTACACAGACGCATTGATGTGAACAGGATATAAAATATATAATGTGATTTCCCTTGCCATGTGACTCTATGCAACTCAAGCCACATCAGAAATCACACCAGTATGAGCCAGCACTAAAAGTGAAATGTCTGCAGCAAGTAGATAATAAATATTATAAAAAAAAAGCCCTTTGTGGACCATAACAATAAGTCTTGATTAGATCTTTTGTTCTCAGTTTTGTCCTTAGGATCAATGAGGTCCTAAACGATACTGAAGACTTGGTTTAATACTAGAGCAAAAATTTTTACATCAGCTTTGATCATCTAGCCAGATGGCAGTCAGATCGTATGTGTGTCCAACTACCTCCAAATGTCTACATGGGGCTTTACTCAAACACTCTGCAAGTCCCATACCACAAGCCCATTTTTTCTCTTCTGAAGCAATTTTTGTATCATTGATTTTCAATGAGTAGTAAATTGACCTAGGCCTCAATCCTTTTATGAGATTATTAATAATACTATACAGGATTAACATGGCGCCAACAGTTTGCACAGTGCTTTACAACTTAAAGGCATAAAGTACAGTTACAATACAGTTCAAACAGGATAAATCAGAGGGCCATGACCGTTAGAACTTACACTCTAAAAGGGAGGGTCGAGTGATACAAAACGGAGTAAGTAAGGGATGGGCTGATCAGTGACAGTTTTGTCATTAGGACCAGAGGTAAACTGTCAAAGGCCCTAAACGGGACTGGAGCCTCAGTTTAACTTTAGGGTACTCATTGACAGTCAGCCAACTGACCTGTGAAAGTAGGTAACAATCACATGTCTAGACAGCCCCCAAACTTCTCCCACTCTCCCCCGGCTATCTGCAGGAACAGTCAATCAGGCAGTTTGGGCAATCTGTTCCATTATTACTGTTCTTGTGTAGGATAAACAGCACTGGAAGTGCCTTTTCCATTCCTTCCCACCTCCATGGCAAAAAATAATGATGCCCATTTGTTGTGCCATCTTTTTGATTTTCTATTCTGACCTGTCAAGAGTATGTGTGTGTGTCTGCCCCCAAATGCTTACAGTAAGCTTAACTCTAAAAATTCTGCAAGTACCATACCACAAGCCCATTTTTTTCTCATGTGAAGCAATTTTCATACCAGTAATTTTAAATAAGTAGTAAAATGCTTCCAGGTAGGTTCATGCTCCACCAATGGCTAAGTCCTTAGCTTGTATGCAAGAGACAGAGAAGCAAGCAGTGTCTAGAGCTTATAATAGCATGTCAAAGTTCACAGCAACCAATCTGAATTCATTTTTCACTGTCCTGATTGCAGAATTCACACTTTATATTATGAATTACTGCACTTTCCAGTCATTGTTTCTTGCACTGTCCTACTGAATAAGCCCCTAGATGTCTTGCAAAGTGCATCTGTGTGTGTACCGCTGCTCGTACCCAACCCCTTCCCCACCATCAAAAGTCCTGTGAAACGCAGAATATTGTGACAAAGTAACATGTAATGAAAGACACATATTTTTACTTGCGTTATAAATGAAGACAAATAGCTTTGTTATGAAATACATTTTTTATTAATCACGCGGAGACATAAATTATTCATTCATATTGTCTCCTTGAAATGCTTTTCACTTTTTAACAGTCAAATTGATTACACTATGATTATTTCATTAAACACACCTATCTCTCTCATTAATTTTGGTTTCTAGTACTGTTCGCTTAATTGATGGATGTGTCTGCGCAAAAAATACATAACTTTCTATAAAGCTCACCCAGTTATTACTGTCAGGGCTCAGATCAACGCTAATGAGCAAGAAGGGGAGGGCGGAAATGTAAAACTAGCTTTTGGAAGAGGTATTATTTAATTTTTCCTTTTGTTCTAAGAAATTGGACAGCTGCGGAATCAAAAACGAAAAAAATTACAAGTAATTACAAAGTTGCTCCTCTAACTGCTATGCTGTATCCTGTTAAAACTACTATATATTACATCATGCAATTACAGAACATTGGAAACTAGCTTTATCAACAGCAGCTTCAAAATAAAGCGACTGTTTATTCCTTAATATTTTGTTTTTTTTATTGGTTTCTATGGATACTTTATTCCGGACTCTTCAGCAAGGAAAATTCCTATGTAGTTTTCTTTGTTTATGAGGGGGCTGCACATCTGTGTTTGCCATAAATAAGCCCTGTCTGTCCAATATCCACGTTTCACTTTGCTCTGTTTAATAGATGTTTTTCCTTACTGACTTTCAACATGGGGTTGCATGGAAGTAAAGTGATTAATGGGTAAGTAAACACTATGAACTTCTTTTACTTGCTCCCTTTTGGTCTGTTAAAATGCTTTTAAAGCATTTTTTTATTATATCTGTTTGATACCAAATACTTGTTGATCCTACTAGAAATATTGTGAGCTGATAACTTCCTGTGCTGACAGATATCAGTTAGCACTGTTCTAAGGTCTCTCTGTGGACTACAAACCCACCCCACCCCACTATTATGGAGCAGAGGAGAGGGTGCGTACTAAAACACTTAGGGGTTTATTTACTAAAACTGGAGAGTGCAAAAATCAGGCTCACTTCTGCACGGAAACCAATCAGCTCCTAACCTCAGCTTTTTCAATTAGGCTTTTCTTCTTTTTTTTTTCTTTTCTTTAAAATGTGTAAAGTTAGTGAGTTCTGACAGTCTAGGACAGGAGGTGTGTTAGACTGGGTACAGATATATCGATATTTAGCAGATTCAGCAGGGACTGGCAGAATTTCGATCTGTGTGTGTCCCTCCATGTTCAGCAGAAGTCGATTATTAGATTATTGAACAATCACACTGGAAAACTTCAACTGATCAGTGGCTGTAGCCATTGATCAGTGTATTCTGACAGTGATGAGCCCCAAAGTCAGGATACAATGTCCCAACAGGGAGATCTCTTCATCCAACCTCGCTTGTGTGGATAGGGAATCCGTTAATCTTTTTTTTTTTTTTTTTTTTTTTTAGAAAACCTAATCATCTATAACCTCTATAAACCGGCCGTACTGGAAGGATCGTAATGGTGAACATAAGGGAACGAAAGCCTGAAAAAAAAAAAAAAAAAAAAAAAGAAATTGCACATTCTCGGAATAGTAAGCTGCTGCATATAATATTTTTGTTTCGGAGTTTAGATACACTGATGCTACATGGTCCTTAGTTTGAATATCACCCACAGTGCGTGGAGTTTGTATGTTCTCCCTGAATCCTTAATCAATAAAAGCTTGCCAACCAAAGTGAGAAACTAGCTAGCAAACATAGTTGTTCACAAAAGACTGTCAGACTCCTTTCTCAATACCACTGCCCCAAGGCTGGAGTTTTTGGATTTCAGTCTCTGAGCTTTTAGTGGTATGTCTGGTACACAGCAGAGCAGCCATTCATAACTAGGAGCACTAACTAGCTAGTCTCACATTTGCACAGCAATACCCTGCATAGCTGCAGCAGCCATGAACATCAGGCTAAATAACGGAGTGCCTGCATACAGCCAATTCACAAAATTATAAGTCTGTGAAACACTTGCTTTTAAAAACAACTGCAAGAGCTCAGGTCATTTAAAAAATCTGGGCCCCAGATGTCTGAAATAAGATCTGTTTGTGTTGCCTCAATGGAACCAATAGGAATCATATTGTCATTGTTTAAAAGAACTGTTATTTAATATACTTTGATAAACAATGCTAACTATTAAAGTGTATTTCCACTTTTGCAGTCAAATTTGAAAAATCTCGCTAGTTATTTATGTGTCCCCATTTACACAGCCTGCCTAAAATGGTTTGATTTGATGCGTCTCAGGAGGAGGTGTCATGGCTGACTGCAAGGTTTTTTGAACAATGTTAGAGTGAGCCTGTCCCAAGTATGTCCTCATTAACATACAATGGAGAAGTCCAGCCTCTACACCTTTGAACCATTGTTAGGACAGAGAGGGGTTGATTTACTAAAGGGAAATGTATGGTGCACTGCAACAGTAGTTGCACCAGAGCTTAGTAAAT